CGGCTGCCCCACAGCTCTCCAGCACCAGACACCATTTATCCACACTGGAGCGGGGCCTTTTACCACGTGTGACACTTATTTGGTGATTTTCTCACGCTATTTTTTTTTTTCCTCCAAGCCCATAACGATCCCGCCCGGCTGGCATTGGCCTTCTTGACACTTGGCACCAAAGCCTTCAATACCACAGGCTTCCTGCGTTTCTAACAGAGCCTGGAATTAGCAAGCTGATTTTCTCCTCACTTTTGCCAGCTGCACTGGCACCGCAGGGCTCGGAAGGGTGAGCTCGCTGGCTGCAGCGCCCGGGGCAGGCAGCCGTGCTGGGAAGGGGCTGGATTGGGGTCTTCCTACGTAAGAGGGGTGTTGCAAAATAAAAGGAACTATTTTACTCCTATTTTGGAAAACAAAAGACAAGGGCAACAAGGTACTATTGCACCAAACCCCACATTTCCAGCCTCCAGGGCACAGGCACTGGGTGCAGGCAATGCATTTCCTCATCGGCAGGAGAGCTGATTGCCGGCAGCTTCGTTAGAAGCACATCCCGGCTGCAGCACGTAAGGAGGGTGGCTGGGAGGGGCTGCGGAAAAGGCTTGGGTACCTTTTAGGCTGACTCGTCCAGAAATGAAATGCCATCAAACAGCAAGAGTAGGGAGTAAAAACGAGTGTACCTGCTCTCACAAAAGTGTGACACACAAGCTGAAGGGGTTGAAATTGTATTTAATGCAAAATATAGGAGCATCAGGAACAAAGAATCAGGAGATAGCCAATGAGAAAAAACAAAAAGGTAAAAAACCCCACTGCTCTAGAAGGTCAAAAAACCCCACCCTAATCTGGAAGGGGGAAAAAATTTTGAAAAATAGAACAGTGGGGCACATTTCTGCCTCGTACAGGAGGAGAGCACCCTTGGTGTGTCAAGGAAATCAAGTCAATCTCATGAAACTCAGTTGTGAGGGGCGGGAAAGGTAACTAAAATCGACCGTTCCATTGAGGGGGTGCACAGCTGCTGCCATTCCTGGGGTCTGGCTTTGGGAAGGCGGATCCTGCTTGCTCCAACCCCGTTATGCACAAAGAGAGTGCCCACGGTGAGAACAAACGCGCCGGAGGAACCCTGTGCTGCAGAACCTGCTTAGAAACAGCTCTGCAACGGCTGTCCCAGCCCCAGAGACCCTCCCCGAAACGCAACCCCCAGGGTGGGAGTATAATGGCTTTTTTGTCCAGGTTTCTTTTTCCGTGATTGTTTCTTTTTGTACTACACTCAGGGCTGGACCAGGAAACCTGGCAAAATCCTTCCCCAGTTCCCAGCCTGGCTTTCTGACCCAGGGAGCGGAGCTGGCCCCGCACGGGTGGGTGCAGCGGAGAGGCAGGTGAGGACAAAGCAGCGCTGGTTGCTGCAATGACACCGGCTGGGTCCCCTCTGTCACTGCAGAGCTCACACAAAGACTCCTTTGTCCCCGAGAGGGAGGAAACCTGCACGAGCAGCGACCGCCTCTGCTCAAGCCAGTCAGTTAACCGGCACAACCAGGTCACTGAGCTCAAAAAAATAAAACCTGGGATGAGGAAGATAAACGACACTGATCAGCTGGGGAACACCATGCTGCCCTCGATGCCCAACAACCCTCCCGACCCGGCACAGTGCAGGACCGTGCCGTAGCGTGGCCTCGGGGCGGGCAGAAGTGCCATATTTTAACAATTCTCCTTGGCACCACGCTCGAGGAGCCACAGCTGGCCTCTGAAATTCCATTATTTAACAACTTTTGTGGCTGCCCATTCCTGAAGACAAGGAGTGTCGACCATAGCAGCGCATAACGCCAACCCTGAGGGGCAGACACACCATCCGGTGCGGGCGTCCCGGCAGCACAAACCAGGGAAAAGCCACAAAAGGCCAGTTTGGGGGCAAGGAGGATGTGGTGGTGCCACGTTTTTCTGGCCATCGGCCCAGCTACTGCAGCTCCCGGAGGCAGGTGCCAGAAAAACCAGGCACCAACACCGTGAATGGGCAGCAAGCACTCGCTTCCATGGTCTGTCAGGTACAGAGGTCTTTAAGCCTTGTTAAACCTGGGAATAAACTTTTCTCCAACTGACTACGAGAAGCTCTCTCGGCTTTCCATACACAAACACAACCACAAAGGTCTCTGCCGGGCTGCTCCCGCCTGTCCCTGCAGCTGGCTCTGCCCTTCCTGCGGCACTGCGTAGGATGGTGTCTTGTTGGGACACTTGCACCAGAATCAATAAACTGCTTTTCCTCGGGATGCTCTAGCTTTCTCCACCTGTTTCTTAGCCCTTGTCTCCTTAGAGCCCAGCGGCCCAGTGCTCAGTCTGCCACGTGCTCCAGCTGCTGCCCCCCTCCCCAAGGCTTTGCCGTGACCAACCTGAGCAACGTCCGTGAACACGGTGTCCGAGACGCTCTCACACAGCGTGGCCACGAGCTGCAGGACCAGCAGCTTCCTCCTCTGCTCAGCATGGTACTGCTCCAGCTCCAGGAGACTCCCTCCAGGCACTGCAGCCGACTTCGAAGCCACCTCGTCCTCTGCAGCCACGTGAGTCAGCGCCTGCCGGAAGGAAGCACGGAGAGGCAAGGGCTAAACACAGGGAAATCGGTGCCAGTGGTCCTGGGCATAGCAAGTCCACATCACCCACACCTCCACCGTGCTGCAAAGGTTCTTGGTTAAATTCTCCCTCCTCCAACCTTGTCCTCAGGCCAAACCCTCACAAACCCCACGGACAGCACACGGAGCACATCCCCTAGGGCCAGCCATCCTCTGGGCTGTCAGACTCACTGGGTCTCTGCACAAAGACACCTGGACCCTCCCATGCCCTTTGCAAAGCTCATGCCAACTCCCCACATGACCGGGATCTGCCACTCGGTACAACGAGGTCTCTGAGAGCTGCTCACACCTCCTGGGCATCCCACCTCTATCACAGCAGCATCCCTACACCCGGAACGCCTCAAACCCCGTGCAACTATGGGCTGGGGCTCCACCTGCCAGCAAGGGCACGGAAAGCACAGCCCAGGTAAGGCCAGGAGGGAACCGCAGGGAGCTCCGTGCAGGATTAAAGGGAGCAGGTGCCTGGGCCCCTCTGCTAGAGCCAAGGAACTAACAGGGATTATTCACAGCCTCAAACACACCATTAAACTTCAGACATGCTCCTGTTGTCAAAAGAGCCCAGGGGGAGCGAGGGTTAACCCCTTCATGGACCAGGGCTGCCTCCCTCTCCTGCCCAGCACACAGGACTGCTCCACCGCGTGCCATACCCCAGCATGGTGCTCCCAAGGCACGTGAGGGGACGACCGGTCCTCTCTGCCAGCTGTCGTACAGACTGCTCAGCCCAGGGAAACCATCCCTGCAGATGTGCCAGCCACAGCCTCGCCTGCCCTCACCTTCAGGCAGCGGATGAAGAAGTCTCCGGCCAGGCCACTCTTCTGGCAGTGAGACACAAGCTCCACCAAGTTCTCCACGTGGCACTGCTCCAAGGAAACCTTCTGGTAGAGGGCTTCATCTTCATCGCTGAAACAGGTCATTGTGTCACCAACATGGGGGTACCCAGACCCCCTCCAGGGCTGGTTCCAAAATACCCCACGGCAAAGCGAAACCCCGCTTCTGCCTTCTCTTGGAAGCCTGCCCTCACAGCACTCCCCAAAAGCGGAAGCCTGGGAGCGGCTGAGCCAAACTATCGCTCAGTTCATCTCGTCTACGTGATCACGCACTCAGTTTATTCATTAAACTGCATTCGTTAAAGGAGTAACATTAACAGAAACCACCGGCGCAAAGCGCACATTTAATCTGTCCATCCTATAAAGAACGGGATCGGGGCCGGCTGATTCATGGTCACAGCCATAAACACAGGCCAGACACAGGCAGCGCCACGGCCGTTAAAGAGCAACGTTAACATACACCCAGCTTAACGAGGGCAGACCTCGGGGCAGACCTTCTTCTAATTCAGGTCAGGAATAGACTGAAATGAAACCAGACCAAGCGTATCCATACAGGGTTTTGTTACGGGTGCTCCCAGCACGCCCGCCCCACGGACGTTCCCGTGCAGGAGCCACGGGCTCTGCCTCGGGCTCGTACCTGCCAGCTAACAGCTACCCCTCTGGACACCAAATGTCGCGTGGCTGGAGACTAATGGCTGCAGTTTATTCCCCGCATGGCCACGCGCTGTCTCTGTTTGTAGGGACCATCTGCAAGAGCAGGAGGGGAGTGGAGTCGCTGGCTCCGCGATGCTGGCATCGCTAGAGTCCTCGCGGTGACGGTGCCACCTGCGCCCGAGGGATTCCACCTGCCCCACACAGCCACGATCTGCCATGAGGCAAGCTCAGAGTGGAGGGTGGAAGTTGAATTCGGGGAGCGTTGGGACTGAAGAAGCACGTCCCATTCCCAGACAACCCGTAGGCAGGACTGGAGACTCAGGAAAAGCATGCAGAGAGCGCAAGCGAACGCTCAGACAGAGTGTGCCGCTTTCCAGGGATGAAAGTCCAAGATCTGTGCCATGTACAGGGATCCCAGAGGCTGCGCGGAAGCACCACCGGAGCTCGGCGCAGACAGCCGGCTGCGGAGATGAGTCCGCGGTGGGACGGTACCGGCAGCCCCACGCTCACCTGGGCTCTCTCTGCCCGGCGTGCCGTGAACAGCCCTGGGTGCTGGATGATGCCTAGGGACTGTCCCCAGGCCCGGCACTGCCCCAGCAGCTCTCACCTGACGGCCTCTTCCACCGCGATGGTGGCACCGCCCTCGCTGCCCACACGGAACTGGCACCACGGGTGGAGGGGACGCACGCTGTCGTTCAGCCCTGCGAAGCCTTCCAGCACGGCCAGCGACACTTCTCGCTCTGACTTCTCCAGGAACCACAGCAGGATCTCCTGGCACGGGGAGCTGGCAAGGAGAGAGAAAGCAGTGGTGACCTTGCTCTGCCCGCTGCACCCCTCCCTGTGCCCCTGCAACGGGACCACGCGGCTCAGGGCGAGGGGAAAGCCAAGAGCGCTCCAGAGTGGCTACGGACACTCCTCGGGATGCTCTGGGATGACAGCTCTGGCAGCTGAAGGGGTTTGTGTCAGTGTACAAGGGGATCAGCAGCACATCCTGTCCTTCTGGCGTTCCCAGATGGAAGGATCTGGGCCCTTCAAGATCTCAGCCCAGCGAGGAAGGGAGCTCTGTCTGAACAGCGTGTCTGTACAAGGACAGCCACTTCCCCTCTGCCTCAGCACGCCGTGCCCAGCGCTTCACGCCAACCTCACGGAGCTGCCAGCTGTGCCAAGGAAAAAGGAAGGAGACAGGGAGCACTGTAAGGTGGCACAGAAACCCCTGCCAAGGGAAGATGCAGGTTAATGAGGTGGAGCAGCAGCGCTGTGCCAGGGGTCTGGAAACCTGAACACTTCCAGGCAGCTGTGGTTTTAGCTACCCCTGCCAAATTCCTTTGCAAAGAGAGAAGCGAGCAGCAGCTCCGTTCCCCCGGCAGCAGTGTTAACTTGGCTCCTTCTACCAACTTGCCACAGCACTCACAACTCTTTGAAGTGATTAACGATGTCTTTAACAATAGCAGAGGCCGTGTCTACACAGCCCTTTTAGGGAAATCCTCCCGTACCCACGTGCCAGTGTCACCAAAGCCAAGGGTAAACTCACCAGGAGGGGATTGGCCAGGCTGGCCCAAGCTCAGGACAGCCCGGGAGGAAAAAAAAGAGGGAGGACAGCCAAGTCCTCACTGTCCCCGTCACTGTGACTGACACGCGTGGTGCTTATCACCGTACATCAGCTGCTGGGGAGCTGGGCACGGCGCAAGGGACACCCGCGCATACGTCGGAAGAGGGCAATCCCAGAAAGAAGAATCTTCAGGGGTCAGCGCTCAAGCTGTTTTATCCAGTTTTTATCCTGTTTCTAAACCCCCCGGGGACACAGATCCCCCCGACGCCCCCAGCCAGGTCCTGGCGTCACCGTCTCCATCCACAGCCCCTGCTCCTAGACGGGCACTGAGAGTTAAACCGCGCTCCCATGGGGCACACCAGCCTCTGCACCCAGCGTTTTGGCTTCAGGGAAGAGAAAAAGGAACGCTTCCTCGGGCACAGGCCTGCCAGTAAGGTCGTGTCCCCTGCCTGCACCTGCGGTTGCTGCCTACTTTGAATGAGAACTCTTGGGGGTGAGAAAATTGGTCTCGGCTTCTGTACATGCCCGTATCGAGCATGACCTTTAGAGGTGGGCAGAAGAGAGAAGATGAAACCCTAGAAGTAGCTGTGCACGATCCTTCCTTACCGTAAGTATGACACATTCTGCTTGGCGAAGGAATAGAGGGAAAAAACCACTCCCAGGACTGACTGTAAGGATCCCAGCAGCAGGCTCGAGCTGTCATTTCCAACCACGTACACCTACGGGGAGAAGGGCACAGGGAGGAGAGTCAGACACCTGCGCGGAGCAGAGGGAAGGCAACGGGGAGGACAGAAAACACGTCCCTATGCTGAATGCCTGACACCAGGGAGGATGGCAGAAGGTTTACAGCCTCTGTTCCTTTCAGTCTGGAGCCTGTTTTCCCTGATATTCTGTAGGAAAAGCTGCCTTCAGCAGCACCCTTCTCCTAGCATTTGCTTAACCACAGCAGGGCTCCAAGGTACGGGAACAACGCAGCTAGCTATTTGGGAAGTCTGCTGCTCAGGGGAAGGTCTTGCGTTAGAGAGGTGCAGCAGGCACCTTTGAATAAGCAGATCTTTATGGAAATACTGCACCCAGAGCCAAATCTGACACACAGAGATCGGTCCCTGGCAGGGCAGCTGGGCTGACGTGTGCTGGGGTGAGCAAGTGAGTTGTGGGGGCTCCGAGGAGGTTGTAGGGTCACGCTCCTCTCTTCCATCTCCAGCATCACCCTCTCAAATCACTGTCAAAGCCCTCCTCCATGAAACCAGCACCCCCTTCCCAGGCTGTGACCAGCTCACCGCACACAAGTCCCACCTTGCTGCCCACGGAGCACCGGAAAAACACCCACAGGAGTCTTACGACATCGCGTTTCCTTTTGAATCCTTTTACAGGAATTATCCAAAGCTAAAAGCCAGGGAAAGCGCTTTCAGTCAAAGCCACGATGCAGGGAAAACTCAGCTTAGAGAACTGTTAAATGCCAAGCCTTGCCCAGCTGGACTAAGGGTTTACTCAGGGTTGGGTTCAGGTCCTTATTTTAGCAGGCTGTATCCCCCTCCACAGCTTTTTTTTTTTAAAAAAAAAAAAAGATGGGACACCCACCCCAAAAATCTTTCCACAAGTTCTCCAAGAGACTTCCAACTGCCTGGGTTGGTGAACTACCTGGCTCAGAAGGTGCTGTCCCTTCACAGAGCTCTCCCCACACCCTCACCTCCCCTCCCCACACCTCCGACCTCCGCAGCTAGAGAGCAATCCCTGCTCCAGGGCTGGAAGTGCCCTGGGGACAGAGCAGGGAGCTTTTGCCAGCTGAAGGCACTGTGACAACCCAGGTAATAGGGAGATGGCCCTGATAACGTTCTGCCCCCTCTGTATTGATGCAAACAGACCTTTTTTCCTGTGCTAATCCCGGTGGAGCCATTCCTCCTAACCAGAACCTTTTGTACACAAAGCCTCCCTGAAGAAGCCCCAAGGACTGTTTCTCACTCAGCATCAAATGACACTTGCTAGGCAAGAAACCCCCCACACAATCCACAGGCTGGAGTCTCCAATCACTAATCTGGCTGCTGTCAGGCCTCCAGCGTTATGCCATTAAGGAGGGATCCGCCCCAAATTCCCCCAGCACCCGCATTGTGAGCGGCAGCCACAGAGCAGCCCTCCAGACCGGTCTCTGCCTGCCAGCTAGTTACGACAGATCGTTACTGCGCAAAATGCTACAACAATCACAGCATTTAAGAGCTTAGCCTGCCTAGAGGCATGCCAGTAAGCAAGTCACCAGCTTCTTCAAATGGAATTCCTGGGCTGGAGATGTCCTGGGTTGGAGTGCCTGGGCTGGCGGTGAAGCCTGCAGCGCAGCACTGTGGGAACAGTGGGAAAAGGA